AACCGGAATTTCGCCTCTGGTCCGTGCATAGCGCACAATGCGATGAAAATTTAAAGGAAAATTAAAAAATGTGGTAAATCTAGAGAAAGTGAAATTGTCTTGTTCTCTGATGAGTAAGTAAAAAGTATCGTCTTGAAAGTTGGCGATTTTTTAAAGTCCCTTTAATGAGTAAAATGTCATCTCGTAGCTCCGGTGTGTAAAACTAACGCATTCTGGTTCGGTTTACGCTTCAAAGTCTTTCATTATCAAAAGCAATCAGCCTCAAACGTTCTCGCTCAAAGCGCGAAATTAACGGAAAATGTCAGTTTGATGCAGAGACTCACCGACCTCATATTTATTGAATACAGTAATGCCTTCCGATAATGGAGAATGACCAAGACTGTCAAGTGATGTATGATGGGCTAAATACTTACACGTAAAGAGAATTTGAGGGGGTAAATATACCGTCCTTAATGTTCCACACCCTTTGGACTTCTCACGAATCCACAACTCTAGTAGTTTCATGCATCGCCCACCACCCGAATATCACGTGGAGTCCACACATTCACGCATCCTGTCGCAAATCTTCCAACAGAAGTGGAGGGAATCGCTACGTTGCAATTGGCTGAAGCAACTCCCAGCCATCTGCCTACTGTTCCCGCTGGGATTGGTCCAGCCTTTGGTCGATGGCAACGGCGAATGTGCGCTGGCAGATTTCCGAGGGCGACTCACTTGCGCAAACAGACTGCCAGATACAGGCTCACGTAACTCCTCCTCTCACCTTGATGGCGACCCCCTCCACCTGCTTCCTCGTTTTAACTACATTTCTTATCGTCCCCACACCGCCTCCTGTTCAATGCTCTGATGTGCTTGAGAGGACGTAGGTCGGAATTTTTGCTCATGCAATAATCCCATTCATTCTTTGCACGTAGGGTAAGCAGATGGGCTCAACAGCTTTACCAGTCGATCGTTCCGCTTCGGGAAGTGATGGCAACGGAGTACTTGAGTAGAGTGGGTTATTGTTGATGGGTTGTATGGGGATGCGTATTGTGTTGCTCTGCTGTAGATGTACAATGGGAGCACCTTTGGTGTGCAGGAGATGACAGACATCTACGCTCGCAAACTGATCGACGATGCTATTGCGGGACTCTCCCAAATGATCCGCACGAAGGAGAAGGCTCTCGAGGTGCTTTGACATTTAATATGCACTTAGAACTCTCCTATCTTTCTTCATTTTTGTATAATTGATGCCATTTTAGTGTGCAAATTTTTTTTGTATTGCTGATCCTTAAGAAGTTAAAGTTTCCAAAACACTTAAGTTAGGCTACAAGCGATTTTAGGTTATTTTGTTGTCAGTTAACTTTTTAGTAAGTTGAAGCGCTAATCTGTTAGTTTGCCTTGTGTGCCATTGAAATCGGCTTCTTAAGGCGTGAGATTCTTATAAAACCAAAGAAATAAGGCATTAAATCTATTTGGTTGCAATCTTGGTAAAAATTTTTTCACTTAAAACGCACCTTCACGAAATTCAACTAATGATCAGGAGGAGTAATTTGGTAGCTTTACTTACAAATCCCAATTTTGTTCAACAGAAACTTCGTGACAGCATTGAAGAGGAGTATAGGGAACAGAAGCCGCTGGAATACGATGAGGTGCGTCGAAATGGCACAGCTTCTAGTCCGCTAAAGTCGACGATTTGAGTCGTTCTCCTCTTCCCTCCGCCCTTTAGTGCTACATCCGTGCCAAGTCCGTCAGCCTATTCCCTCATCCTGTGGACGAGAACGGAACCAACATTGTCCCCTGCAATGAGTCTCAGTATCTGCCTTTGGAAGCTGATCCCCTTTTTGGGAATACCTACGTTAGCAGGAAC